AACAATGGAATATTATTAAGCAATGAAAAATAAAGCTCTGGTACATGTATGCATTAACATGAATATTGTTAACATGAATGAACATTGAAAACATACTAAATTTAAGAAACCAGACAAAATGCCACATATTGTATAATCCATAGGATATTATTATTCATAGATGCCTTTGTCAATTTGTAGGTAAATAACTTTTGTGAAATAACCTTTCTGCCATTACTGGTGAATACAAATATTTTGTGATTATTTCAACTTGTTAGGTTACTTAACTCATTGTCATTGTTCTTTGTGTAACTTAACTACATAGGTAATTTAACAAAGACTATTGTTTGCCCTCCCAAAGGATTTTAAGCTGGCTGTAGTGGCACATGCCTATAATCCTAGCACTTGGGAGGCTGAGGTAAGAGGATCACCACGAATTTGAGGCCATCCAGATTACAAAGTGAATTCAAGGCTAGCCTGAGCTACATAGAGAGACCCTGTCCCAAAAAGCCAGAAAAAAAAGATCTCCGAGTGCTTTAGCTTGTATTGATTTCTCTCATTTCATATAATATTGTTGTGTAGTATTTTTGTTCTGTTCTCTTTCTAAACTTCTAACATGGGTATTGCTTTTGTTTTGCAGTGTTTACTCCTATATTTAATCACATGCTTATTCTTTTATTTACACGCTATTTCTGTTCCATATATCTTCTAGGATCCTTTCATTTATGATACACTACATTAGTGAAGGCTTATTGTTAGTAAGCATTCTAAAGTTTTATTCCTATTGTGACATGATCTGCTTTACTGTCATTCTTACCTAATGTTTTAAGTATAAAATCCTGTACTGACAGTTATTTTTTTCTTAGCCTCAAGAAGATTCTATCCACTCTCTTCTAGCTTCTGTTGCTTTTGAGAAGTCTGCCATCTGTTTCATTATTCCTTTTGTAAGTAATTGGTATTTTCTTTGGCTGCTTGTAAGATCCCTTTTAAGATTTTTATTGATGGGGAGTGAGATAGCTCAGCGGACTAAGCGCCTGCTTAGGTAAACAAGGGGTCAGGGTTCAGTCCCCTGTACACATGCTTTGCTTGCCCCGCCCCCAGGCACACTGAGTCAGCCCCCAAGACCAGACATAACAGTGGGCAAGACCCTGTACAAAATACATTTTTTTTTAAAAAAAAAGACTTTTATTGATTACATTGTAATTTAGTATTCTGCTCCTCTCCCAGGTCTTTTTAAACTTGCCCTTTCTGCTTTTATTTTGTATTTTCATGTACTTAAAGCGTTATCATGTAACAATTCGCGTTTCTGTGAAGAAAGCCTTATATTGATATTTCTTGCCTGCCTGGGGCCTCTTACATAATGGTGAAGTATCCATAGCCTGTTTTCTTCTTTGTTGAAAGTCTAGACCAAGACTAAAATGTTCTTTATCGTTTTCCTTTCAAGTCAGATGTATTCTTTTATTTTTATTTATTTTTTTTCTTTCTCTGAACTGTAAGTCTTTGATAGTTCCACTTTTGCATAGAAATTTATTTCTATATGCTGTTCTTTTGTGGGCCAAAGGCCTTGTTTTTTTGAGGTTTTCAGACAATTAAGATGCAGACTTAGGGCAATGAAGATCAGCAAATCCTAAAGGTGGCTGTAACTTCAGAGCACATTTACCTCTCCAGTTTCTGATTTTCAACCATTGTGGTGCTTCTGGGTCTTCTTTACTTTCTTTTAAGCTCTGTGTACTTTTAAAAGGATGATTATATTTTCTTTAGCATTTATTATTATTTTTCAAGAAATCTGATATATTGCTTAAATATTAATGATACTGAATCTTCCTACTTTTGACTATGCTAAATCTGCTTTTCTTTTTATGTCCTCTCAGAAGTTTCATCTTTCCTTAAAAATTCTTACACATTTGTTGTTCAGCAATTTCCTTAGTAATTCATTTTATTGATATTATAAAAAATATTTTCTTTGATGACATTTTCTTAATCATTAGTATATATCTGATATCTCAAAGTATTAATATGTGTTAAGTATGTGTACCAACTCCCCATGTAATCATTATGTACTGTAAACATGTACTAATCAAAAATTTACAAAAGAAGACTAGCAGTGCCAAGCATTTGTAAGATTTAAAGCACTCTATAATTCATTACTCAAAATAACCAAAAAGGTAGAATAACTCAGATAGCTATCAGCTGATGAGTAGATAAATAAAATTTGGTATATCC